GAAAAGAATGACTGAACTCAGCAAGTTCAGTGTTGGGGGAGTGTCAGCCAGGTGGAAGAGACTGGACAGGAAAGCAGTCAAAGTCATGGAAAATAAGTTTATTGCGTTAGGAAGCTTGCATTTTCCTGAAAAGTGAGCAAAATGCAGTTGTAAATACAGGGTTGGTCAGAGTTGAGATAAATTTATGGTTGGGAGGCCTTTAACAAAATTTCTGGGGAAAAAAGAAAGAATTTGGTGAAATTGGAGAACTATAGCACACAGGAGAGAAAGGGCCCAGTAGCTCAGCAATGGCAGGAAGGAGAGACATCAGGACAAGGCAGAGGGTGTAAGTTAAAGTAGAAGGAGGAACCTTTTGTCATCTGAGGCCATGGGAAAGAAGTTAAAGGTATTCACACACAACTTCAAGAGCTTTAATATTGCTTTTCTTTTCTCTAAAGACAATGAGAGAGGAAGGCTTTATAAAAAGGGTACAGGAAGATTTGAAACAACCTTGTGTGTGGGAGGAACAGGAGCCAATTAGGGACAAGTTGAAAGATTGCCTGGAAGATGAGGAGTTGTATGTTTCTGTGGTACAGATGCAAGAGACTTTAGAAATCATTTATTTCTGAGCACAGATCGCAAAGAATCAAGGAATCAACTGAGCCAAGGCTGAGAACATCAGAATGGGGTGGCGGAGTGCAACTGAGAGGAAGGACTATTTTCCTCAGGTAGAATTAGGAATGGAAGGAAAATCAGCAGGGGTATGACAGCGAGGAAAGACACATATGGAGAGAAAAGAAGTTGTGATGAATGCAAAGAGCGTTGATAACCTGGAGAGGATGTGGAAGAACTGCAAATTATCAGGGAAAGGGCTTCACAGTTGGATAATTTCTAAAGGTGAAAATATTGGTGTAAATTTCTGATGTTGAACCATCCTTGGAGTAATGAAGTGAAATGTGATAAAACCTTTGTAGGTGATTTAAAAGCCTTGCTGGGTGCAAGGCTCATGCCTGTAATCCTAGCTATATAAGAAGTTGAGAGCTAAGGATCTCGGTTCAAAGCCAGCCTGGTCAGAAAAGTGTGAGACTCGTCTCCAATTAATCACAAAGAGGCAGAAGTGGAACTGTGGCTTAAGAGATAGAGAACTAGCCTTGAGCACAAAATCTTAGAGACAGACCCAGAATTCAAGCCCCAGGACAGCACACACACACACACACACACACACACACACACACAAGCCCCAGGACAGCACACACACACACACACACACACACACAACTGCAACAATAAAACCCAAAACATATGGGGTTAGTTAATAAACAGATGGGTAGGAGGAAAGAAACTCCAAATTTCTAAGGATATGGTGCATTATTAAAAATACTGATCTAATAACTCATTTGTTGACTATAGTAAGACTTACTGGGTACAGCACAGAAAAGGCGTTTATATGGTACCTTTGTCTTTGAGTGTTTCTTCCCTCTTCTCCTTTTGTGTTTTAATTGTAAGTAAATCCATGCTTTTTTTCCTGTCACTGAGGTCATTATTATTGCTGCAAAATGTTATAGTTGACCATATTTTTTCATGCTTCCTGACTTAATATGCAACTGAAAATTATTTTGCCGTTTGTTTCTGTACTAGCTTGCCTCCTTTTGTAGCAACAGCTTTGAAGTTAAAATGACAGGGCAACATTTACAAAACTTATAAAATTTTTATTTCCTCCTATCTCTGGTTTAGTAATATGATTAGTAGGAGACAGGTCAAACCCCTTTACAATAAAATTATAGACCAAGGAAATAATTATCCTTATGTTAATATCATAAATGTTATAAATCCAAATAATTTGACTGAATCATATATACCAGACTAGGCTCCGACCTATTTTGCTGTATCAAGAGCAAGACTCACCTTGGGTAAAGATACTGGAAAAGAATATACACATGCAAAAAAAAAAAGAATATACACATACATTATGTAAAGTTTCTGGAAAGTGTGATTGAAATCCAGCCAGGTAACAGAGAGACAGTCAAGTTATGAATGCAGAATAGTCTCGTGACAGTGTTTCAACTATGAAAAGATGAACCATAGGCTCCAGGAATGTCAGTTCATCCTGTCAATCATCAATATCCGATTGGGCATTTAGCATTCCCTAACATTGTGCTAGGTACTGAAGACATAAGGAAAGATTTTGACTTTCCCAAGCTATTGAGAGAAATACACTGTTAACACAGAACTACAGTCCAGTGTGGTACAGACAGTAATAAGGAAGGAAAAATGTTATAGAAGATTCGCTATGGCTATGGCTATAAAACAGCATTTTTCCATTTCTTTTTCTAAAAGTCTTCTTAGAGCAACAAGGAAAGGAGAAGACAAAAATACAAACTGAGGGCTGGAAAGGTGGCTGAGTGGAAGAGTGCTTGCCTTGCATGCATGAGGCCCTGGGTTCGATTCCTTAGCAACCACATAAACAGAAAAAAGCCGGAAGTGGTGCTGTGGCTCAAATGGTAGAACGCTAGCCTTGAGCTGAAGAGCTGAGGGACAGCGCCCAGGCCCAGAGTTCAGGCCCCATGACCCAAAAAAAACCAAAAACTGAATTTTCCATTAGACTAGAAGACATATACCAAAGATTTCACAGGGCTATTCAAAGTACTCAAAAGAACACAGGAGCTCCACTGGAGGAAAGGGAGAGAAACAGAGGAGAATGTTCAACAATAGCATGCCAAAAGATGAACACACAGACACTGACTGAAGAAAGACACATGTAGCAATTGAAAACTGTACCTGTTGTCTGTCATAGCCAGCAGGCAACAGAAACTCTACTGGACCAACCCTGGTTCATAGAAGTAGACATGGCATCCACATGAAAGTGTAAGAGGCCACTTAAAAGATGCTGTTGCTGGGTCTTGTGAATTAATTAAAAGTTCTCCACCTTTGTCCTTGTGACCCTTGATGTGGTTCTCTGCTGCAGTCTCTTTGCAAGCACCTTGGGTTCCAGCAAAGAAATTTACTGATAAGTATCTTGTGTAGAAGGCAAACAGCCCCTCACACAGACAATGCCTCTATTTATCATCTAAAAAGAGGAAAGAGCCCCAAACCTAGGAGACCACTGACCAGGCATCTTGTTCTTGCTCTGTCTTATAAAGTGATTAACAACTTGAAACTCTTCCGGAGACAAAGATTGCGCCTCTGGTTCACCTGGTCATACCTGTGACTTGGACTTTTTTTTCCCCTTAACTGTGCGTACCTTTCTCACCTCCCTGCCCCCACCCTAATTCTTCCCATTTAACTAGAGGCCAATCTCTATCCTATGAAGGCAGCCTAGGATGTGCTGATACGCTGGTCTCCCATGGCTGTCATGTAATAAATTTCCTTTCTCTGCACTACATCATGTTTCTGTTTTTTTTTAAATTTAATTTTATCATAAAGTTGCTGTACAGAGGGGATACAGTTACATGAGTGAATTAATGAGTACATTTCTTGTAGAGAATTGTTACTCCCTCCTTTGTGGTTCTCCCCTATTCCTTCCTTCTCCCACCTTCTTCGCTCCTCCCCACCCCCAAAGTTATAAAGTTCGTTTCCCATATACTGTCTTGTGGGTATCATTGTTGCAATTGGTCATCCTGTGTCCTTGTTTCAGCAGTCTGTTACTCCCCTCCCCCTCCTTGAACTGGAGAAAAGTATATACGAGATGTATGACACCACGAACAAATACAGGATAACAGGAGATACCATAGGGGGAAGAACATACAAAGGAAACAAAACCATCTCATAGCACATTAACAACAATGACAAAGAAGAACCGCTTGCAGGGAACTACATCATATTTCTTTATGGGGATAAGTGGTCAGGTCTGGATCCCTGAACTTTGATCCGGAGTCTAAAAACTCAGTTTCAAGAAATTACCCAAAATCACACATGCAAAAGTAGTGCTTTTTTTTTAATACAGGAGAAGAGAGGCTTTGCTTGTTTAACAAGAAAAGAAGAACTTGCCTGTCATCTTAATTTTCTTCTGACCCCTTCCAATGGAAAGTTTGGAATGAGATTAGCCTCGGAAAACCCAGCTCATAATGAAGTGCTTAAAAAACAAAAACAAAAAAACTCGAGTGTAGCATTTAAACAAGAAACACTAAAAAGGAAAAAAAAATCTAATAAAAATTATGTAAGAAACAAATAAGATACCATAAGGGAGAGTTGGGGGAAGAATGGTAGAAAAGATGACATTGATCAAGAAGCATTATACTCATAAATTAATATATTAAATTGAAACCCCTTATACAACTACTCAAAAATAATTAAAAAAAGATACCATAAGGGAAAAGTAGAAAAAATATTCTGACAAAATATAAATGACAAAAGCTACTGTGAATATTTTGAATAAACATTATTAAATACCAGGAAAGATTTTCCTCATTACATACCCTAAAAAAAGTCTACAGATATCTATGGCCAAAGGCATTCTTAATTTGGTGCCAATCCTGGGGCTTGAACTCAGGGCCTAGATTCTGTCCTGGAGATTTTTTATTCAATTCTAGCACTCTATCACTTGAGCCACCGTTTCACTTCTGGATTTTTGGTGGTTAACGGGAGATAAGAATTTCACAGCCATACATGTCCAAGCTAATTCTTAGATCTTAGCCTTCTGGGTAGCTAGGATTACAGACATGAACCAATGGCATCAGGCTCAAAGTCATTCTTATTAATAAAAATTAAGTATTCTTCCCCTACGGAAGGAGACTAATTCTCAGCACTTGAAAGGTTCTAGATAGTGCAGAAAATAAACAGAAAGAAAAGCATTTGCATGGTAGATGAAGAAGTTGAACTTTTTTTTCTTTATAGTTAATGATAGTTCACATAGAAAATCAGGTGACATCTACAATCAATTACTAGAACTAGTGAAATGAGTTAGATTGTAGGATTAACAAACAATGTATAAACAGCAGCTATTTGTATATATAATTCTGAATTGCTGAAAGATGCCAGGCAAACATATGTTTATTTAAATTTATTGTAATATTTTTCCCATGGAAACTTCAACTTATATCATCAAGTAAGATCTCAGGAACCACCTCCACCTTGCTCTCTTCAGCTCCTAAGGTGAATAATTAGAGTAGGTTGATCATTTGTGTCATTTGTGTTTCTTATAGAAGCCAAACTTAACAAGGATTAGTGAGTTCCATGATTTATGAGGTTCTGAAAATTTAGCATTAATAAATCTTAATTGTTAATGTTTCCTTCTTAGAGTGATATATACTTATTAGGAAAAACTTAGAAAAAATACAAAATTTAATTCATTATCTTAATACTCAAGCAGGACAACAATTTAAGACATTTTAATTTATTTTATCCCAATACTTTCCATGAGAGATATTGATCCAGTCTGTGGATATATATATATGTATTCATCTACATATGTCTGTTTGTCTAAATGTGTGTATATATAAACATTTATATATGTATATAGTATATATGTGTATATAGTATATATTTGTGTATATAGTTTATATTTGTGAATATTGGCATAATTTTCTAAAGACTTTTATATAATTATTAAATTATATACGTTATCTTTCTCAGATACCTACTAGAATAAAATTTAGGATTTAGAGGAGGTTATTTTTGAACCTTTTGAGTGTCTTTGAATATTCGCAGATCCCTCATTTCTCAGTTATATCAGGCCCACACAGATATGTAGAAAACTCTTTACAATGTTAATTATTCATCTTTCTTAATAGGCAGAGCTGTAAATAATATATTGTATGCCTTTGGCATTTCTGCATTACTCTCTTTAAATATTGAAACACTTGTTTCAAGAGCATCTTTGTAGTTTGTGTTTTATTTGTATCTTCTACTTTAACAAAGAATCAGGGGTCCTTTAACTCAATGATAGCTCAGAACTGGTAATTGTCTCATAATTAAACTCCCATCTTGATTATTTTTTGCACTGCTAAAAAGCCTTATTATATACAGATACAATATATGCACAATATAATATATACACATATAATAGACACAGTAAATTGAGGCTTATGGAAAATGAGAACTTTAACCCAGAAAAGTCTTCCCCATGTTGCTTCAATATAATATATACTATCAGAGTAAAAATGATCCATATGTTCATTTGTGTAACATGAATGAAAACTGCCTCCTTTAATAGGAGTTTACCTCCATAACTGAACATCAGAAGAGGCTCTGGATTTATACATGTTGTTTTTACTTAGTTTTTACCAGCATCTAAAATTGGGGTGGAGAGCAGCAGAAATTACATGCAAGTAACCTACCCTGGGAAATAGGTTTAAAAAGTTGTTATAAAGCCTCTACTAGTAATGATGATGATGATGATAATAATAATTCCATGCCTTAAGATTCTGCCTACAGGTGAGTAAACCATGCACAAGACTGTGATAAGACTGTATCAAGTGCTAGTGGTTTGTGTGAAGGAAAATTGGAACCAAACAGTTTCCATGAGCCCAAACACTATTGAAGAGAGAGGATTCACTGGCCAGTGGTTTGGGGGGGGCAGTAGTGGACAACGACATGCTTAGGAATTGGCATATCTGTCACTTACACTCTACCCTAAACTCTTCTCCTTCTACTGGTCATGTTTTATTTCTAGAAGAGAGTAACCTGGTAGACACACGTGCTGTAGCTCTTCTAGCACATTTCTTTCATTGGTTGAAGTAGCAGGAAGCAAGGGGCAGGAGGTAGGATGTGGGATGAGGGCAGTTCTCAGAACTTGTCCTCTGGTGAATCAGGGGGTAAAGTGAACAGAATGTGCTCCCACTTTGGGGTCTCTGTACTCAAAAGTCGGGCTTCTTTTTAAAATTTGCTTTCACAAATAGTACAAGGGAAGCGTGTGCTGATAATTCCATGGAAGTGCAGACTATAGCAAAGTTAGATCTCTTGACTCAGTCAGCTCTGTTTCGGAATCAGACTTCTAATGAGCCGTGATAACAGCACATATTTACGAAAGGTGGTGCACTAAGCTTTTGGTTTTTAAATTTTTTGATAGCAGTAAGAAATACGACCTAATGCAATATGATGAGGGAAACAGGCATCTGTTTCCAGTTATCTGGCTACCAAACATAACATTGATTTTTGTTCTTTAAGGATATTACCAAAACTCAGAAACTCAGGATTGCAAGTGATAACTTGAAGCCTGGATATCTTTCCTCCCTTGAGTTTTCAGTCAACCACAGAGACCAAAAAAGAAATCCAGAAGGTGCAGATTTGTATATAGAGCATGTTTCCAAAACCAAGATAGTGAAGAAGTCTGTCAGCAAACCCCAGCAGCAAAGAGAAGCAGAAGCTCTGCCAGAAAATGTCAAACTAGCTCAGAGGTCCCAGGTACTTTGTTCTTTTATTTTCTTATTTACAAAATGAACAATAATTTACTTATTCTGGAAATAGCATTCAGTAATGGTTTTGGTTCATTTTCACATTTTGAAGCACTCTAATTATAGGATGGACATCACAATATGTGTTTCCTGTACAGGGTCCCAATATCTATTTTTTCTCCCTTCTCTTTCTTCTTCTTCTTTTTATTTTTGGACAAAAAGTTAGATTGCTAATATAAGCACAGTGTCTGCAGAACTCAAACAAGTGAAGAGTTCTCAGAAAAATGTGTGGATGGGGAAAATTTAAATCTATATTTAAGAGAGAAATGTCCCCATAGGATGAACCTTGACTCTTCAGAATTTTGTATTCAATATTTTATAGAAAAAAGTGCTTAGCTAAATAAAGCATACATAGGTTGTTAGCTCTATCATCAAGGATCCAGTATCTAAAGTAGGATCCAGTATTTGAATTTTCAGATTCATTTTAATGACGTACCGCCTGCAAGTCTTCATGTGTCTAAATGTGTCTGCTTCTTTTAAAAGACTCACACCATACCAACAGTGTTTCCCTCATTTAATTCTTTTCTAATTGTCTTCATGTTCCATTTATAATTATTACAACAATAAAATATGAGAGTTCCTGTCTCAGGTTTAGTGCTGATTGATTACAAACATTATTTCACTAACATCCATTTTACATCTTTTGTAAGCCAGAATTGATTGTTTATATTATCTAACTGGCTCACCAGATTTGACTTTTAAGGCCTTTTGACTATTGTCACAAATTAAAATCACTCTTAGAAGGTGGATTTGAGCCACTGGAGCAGATATTCAAATGAATTGCTGTGGGCCCTGAAGGCTGTGTAAACTCACTTGATCAGCAGATACCTGCCGAGTTTCTTCACTGTAGACCCTATATTGCATGGTGGGAGATAAGATATTCAAGGCATAGTTCATACAAAGGGAATTATTTTGAACAATAGTCACTTTATTGAAAGCTCTCATTTATTCCTTTGTCATATTTTTGGCAAATAGTGTACATGTTCTTTCTAAAATTCTTTAGTGAAAATATTTATTCTTTAAAGAAGACTTTTTTCATTTCACTTTTAAGTAGTTCATTCTCAAAAAGTAGTTGAAACCAGTTTTCTTATAATTGTAAATTTTTTATCCTCAGTCTTTCCCTGAGATTATATGATCACATTAAATGTTTATCATCTATACAATTTAACTTTTCTTTCTGTCACTTTGAATTATGTGTCATATTTAAATATGATGTTTCATATTGCAAAAGGCCATGTACAAAATATAGCATAATTGTAATATAAGAGATTTTATAATTTTTTTCCCAGTCCCGAGGCTTGAACTCTGGGCCTAGGCACTGATACTGTGCTTCTTTTCCTATCACTTGAGCTATAGTGCCACTTCTGTGTTTTTCTGAGTAGTTTATTGGAGAGAAGTGTATCTTGGACTTTCCAGCTCTGGCTGGTTTTGAACTGAATAGCTAAGATTATAGGATTGATCCACCGGTGCCCCGAGAGATTTTATTACTTTATAGTCATATCTCCATTAACCTTGCATTTAAAAAATTATTAAGTGTAAAATTTAAAGATTTGGGATTTGTTGGTTTACTGTGTAGTTATGTTATATACTCTTAAAACAAGAATATATTGAGAAGTTGATAGTGTGTCCAGGTATTAAAACAATATATTTAGAATTTAGATGTGGTATAGTACCTTTGTAGATGTCTGCATGAGTATAAAGCTACCCAAGAGAATGTATACTTATAGTATGTGCACATACATGCATATACAAATACATATACACTTGTGTAGCTTTGCACATTATAGGTACATAAATGTATATTAGCATATATGTAAAATACGTAGGTACATCTACACATGTATATGTAAAATCATATGTACCACTCTCAAGCCACAAATGTTGTCATGAACAAAACCATATATAGTTTCTGCCCTCATCAAAGTTAGAGACTAATAAGAAGCAGAGCAATCATGTCTCCAATCATTTCATAGACAGATTTATATTGCAGCTACAATAGTATTCCTTTTTTTCTTTTGAGATAGAGTTTTGCTGAGTTACAAAGACTGCTTCCGACTTGAGCTGGGACTGCACGCACCTCCTGTGCTGCTACCGTGGCAGGATTTTTATGGACAGTCACTTATCTGCTTATGACGGGATATTTGGCTATGGCTGGTCGGATGGGCTGTCTTTTCAGAAAAAAGATTCCTAAGATTTTTATGATTAAATTGATTTAAAAAAGAGAGATGATACATGTCCAAGTAATGTATACTGTTTGTTAAAAAGGGATACAAGGATGGGTGTAAAGTATTTCAAGAGGACAGTAATGGGAGGACAGAGAGATGGAGAAGAGATGGGCCGTGAGATGTATAGGGAATGATCATAACCACACAGGTTCCATAGGCCTTGAGAAGCATATTTTCATTTATCCTAAAAGCAACAGAAAACAACAGGAGAGCATCAGTAATGTGTCCAGACATTATTTATTTTACTTTTTTAGAAGACATTGCTTTGGTTGAGTATGGAAAAAAAAGGTAGGATCATACCTTGCAGTCATTTGACCCCTACTTGTCTGTATAAGAAAAGACTGGTTAATTTCATCTCTGGGATAGAAGGATAGTTTGATATACATAAATCAATAAACATAATATGGAAAATTAACAGAATTAAGAGCAAGAATCACATGATCATCTCAATAAATGCAGAAAAAGCCTCTGACATATCTTACCTCCTTTCATGATAAAAGCTTTGGAGAAGGTAGAACAGAAGTAAGATACCTCAATATAATAACAATGCTTTACAAGAAATGTACTCATTGTCTTACTCATCTAACTGTTACCCCTCTGTATAGCATCTTTCAATAAAATAAAAATTTTAAAAGACTATTATGACAAGCCTAGAATCTACATACTAAATGGTGAAAAGTGGAAAGTGTTTCTTCTAAAATCAGGAGCAAGGACAAAGATGTTTACTCTCTGCATTCCTTTTCAGTGAAGTAATGGAATTCCTAGCTAGAGCAGAAGGCAAGAGAAAGACATAAAATCCAAAGAGGGAAAAGTCAAAGTATCCCTATTCACAGATCACATGATATTATATCTAAAGGACCCTAGAGAGTCCTCTCCCAAGCATATCTGCTTTGAAGAAAACCTCATATGCTTCACATGCTTGATAAAAACGGCTCTGGAAATTGCTAACAGTTTAGTTTTCATGTAGTACATTTATCTTTATTAATATAAGTAACAAGGACTTATTGTTCCTCCTAGAGAACTTTTTTAATTTTTTGGAGCTTAAAACAACATACATTTATTTTCTCACATTACTCTGGGTCTAGTGACTGGGCAGATTTTAGTTGAATTCCCTCCTTAGGATTTCATAAAGCAGAAGGTGTTGGCAGGATTGAATTTTCTTTTGCGGGTCAAGATCCTCTTCCTACTGACATAGTTGCTGGTAGAAACCATTTTCTTATAACTGCTTGGTGCCCTGGCTTCTCACTAGCTTTGGCTGGAGGCCATTTTTAATACTGTGTCACATGACCCTATTCCCAGGTGGTCCACAACAGGGCTATTTGCCAGTGGGAAAGTCTGCTACTGCTAAATCATCTAAGCTTTAATTTCACAAAATAAAATGCAGTCAGACTAACATGACATTCTATCACTTTTGTTAGATTCTATTGGCTAGAAGAAAGTTGTAGGTGCCACAGTCCCAAGGATAGATTATTCTGAGAGCATGGGCCATTTGGGGTCAAGAGTAGAAAGGGTGTATCTGTCACGGAGAGCCAAGCAAGTAATGAAAAGAAATCTTTGAAAAATACCAAAGCCAAATTGAAATCAGAAAGTATAAAAGCTTGTCACTGAAGTGTTTTCAACCTTTTCAAGTATGAAGGAATATTTTAAATGTAGAAAAATTGCTATACATTCCATATAATAATAGGTATGTTCAGTTTTCATTAGTAACAATATAATCAAAAGGAAAACATCACAGATACTTTGAAATGAATTGTGTCTTATATTCCTTAGCAGAATCTACATATGTACATATTCACATGAACCATAGTTTATTTAGAATATGGATAGTAACTCATGTTTGCAAACTATTAATTTACGCAGATTTTTGCAACTACCACATGCCCCTAAAATCACTGCTGAGCCCCATAGTCCATACCAATCATTCATACTTAATTTGTCTTATGGCAATTTTTCCCCCTGGTTCTGGAGCTTGAACTCAGGGGCCTGGGCACTATCTCCTAACCTCTTCATGCTTAAGGCTTCTACCACTTGAGCCAAATCATCACTTCTGGCTTTTTCTGAGTAGTTTATTGGAGTCATATAGACTTTTCTACCTGGACTAGACTTTCTTGCCCTGGCTTTGAACCATGATCCTCCAATCTCAGCTTCCCAAGTAACTAGGATTACTGGCGTGAGCCACAGTGCCAGATGTCTTATGACATTGTTTATTGCAGTGTGTCATTAGTTAATCTTTACATGTGCTTATGTAAATCATGCCCCCCCCCCCAGATAGTGTCAAACTGGATAGCCAAGACTATGTTGAAACTCTGTAGTCCTGACTGGTCTCAGGATCTTCCTGTCTTAACCTCCCAAGTGCTGGAATTACAGTTATGCCTCTCCCATACACATATCACACAATGGCAAGTTATGTATTTATTCAAGGCAGTTGTCAGAAGTCAATATTTCCCTGTATTATTTCACCATTTGTAGAGATGAAATGGCATAATTAATGAGTGAGGGTGGTTTAATGTGGTACACATTGACTTTGTATATTTGCTTTTAACACTTTGCTGTAGGTCTCTTGCTGGGGAATAAAAAGGGAACCAAGTATAAGCCTCACACAAGAAGGTCAAGTATTGGTTGATGCTGAATCCAGCAACAACAATCAAGATATCATCGTGGTGAGATAAACATACTTACTAATGATATGTTAAGATTTTTTTCACCTTTACAGGGATTAAAGAGATTCAGCAGGTGTCTCAATGTAGCTGAAACATTGATTAAATCACCTAGTTTGGGGATACAGCAAGAGCTCTTACAAAAGATAGTTGTTATTCATGCAAGGCTATATAAACTAGTAAAGATAGAACTAGCCATGAGTCCACAACTCTTTTCCGTTATCAGATTAAGACCTCTAATAGACATGTGAATGTATAAAAATTATACAATTTGAAGGTCATATCCCAACCTTATGTTCCAATCAATACTGTATGAATCTTTCTGCAATTTATTATTATTATTTTTTTTTTTACTTTTCTTTTTTGGTACTGGGGATCGAACCCAGGATGTTGCACTTTGCCTCTGAGCTACATCCCAGCCCTCTTTCTGTAATTTATAACACAGACTTTCAACAGAAAGTGTAATGCTCATTTGTATGTTGTTTGTTTGGTCTTGTGGTGCTGGGAGTTGAACCCAGGGCTTTATGTATGATAGGCAAATTTTCTGCCACTGAGTTATATTCCCATCTCCACAATGCAAATTTGAGTTTGTTAAATGGAAAAAGGCTTGGTGTTCAGGCAAAAGTGATTTGAAGACTGACCACACAAGGAATCCTTCACCTGGGAAGCCATGTTAGAAGTGTCATTTGAATTATAGTAATACACAATGAAAATTCATTTTGATGTTGGAATTTAGTCAGGGAAAAATCTGTTTTTTAAATCAACGTATATGTTTTATTATTCACCGTAGTTTTCTTTTTACCTTGATTACCAAAAAGATTGTGGCTAAACTTGAACCTAAATAAGGATAGTTATAGTACCTTGAAAAGCTGTTATTTCTGGTATGATAAGATAAAGGCGGGTTCCTAGGGAGACACCTGGCCCCATTCTACATGTATTTAAGTAATATGCCCCCAAATGCCAGCTAAGAATTTTGGATTACGTTTAATCATATTTGAGCCAATATAGAACATGTTATTTCTTCTGGTTCTAATTTCTGTGCCCTTCAATGAAACACTGTGCTCACAAGACACAGGATGACACTGACATGAAGATTTTATTTTAGTATATTTTATTTATTTTAATATATTTAAAAAAATTTAAAATTTTTTGGACTTTTTTTCCCATTTTTAAAAATTTTATTGTCAAGGTGATGTACAGAAGGGTTACAGTTAAATATTAGGGTAGTGAGTAAATTTCTTGTTTGAACTTGTTACCCCTTCCTTCATTTTTCTTCCACTTTCCTTCCCCTCCATTTTCTCCCTTCCCCACCAACTTGTACATTCATTTCCAACATATTTTCTTGTGAGTTTTGCTGTTGCCTTGGCTGGCGCTTTGTCCTTTGTCTCACCATTTTGTTAAATTGTTATTACAATTAAAAAAACAAAATATTTTAAAACTTTGTGTCAGTACCAGAGCTTGAACACAGCCCAGGTGCTGTCCCTTAGATTTTTTTTTTAAATCAAGGCTGTTGCTCTACCGGTTGAGCCACAGCTTCACTCCAGGAATTTTTGGTGGTTAATTGAAGATAGGAGTCCAGGCTGGCTTTGAACAGTGATCCTCAGAACTCAGCCTCTCATGTAGCTACCATTATCAGCATGAGCCACCAGAAATCAGCCATGAAGGTTTTATTTTTAAAACCACATATTATGCATATTTCAAGTACGGTTCTATCAACATTTCCCAGGTTCAATAATGATCGATGCATGACCACTCTGGTTTCATCCGTGTACTTGCCTGTGTCTCCCGCACACACACCACAATCTAAGTTATATTTGTGTTAAGAAGGGATGTAAAAAAGACAAGAAATGATTTATGAATGGGAGCAGAAAACAGAATAATATGGACAATAAGGACTGATTATAGCCAGGACATGCATGTGTTTTCAAAAGGAAAAAGGTCAAAAATTTAATCAGAGACTAGAAGGGGAGGCAAAACTGCAACCAGTACTGTAAAGAGCATCTCCTCTCTTTACCACTTAGAAGCACAATGTGACCTGGCTCCGCCAGTCACCCATTTGTGTTGTGGAAATTTCAAAGTCTAGTTGTGTTTTTCTAGTTTTCATTATGTTTTCACCTTAGAGTCACACAGAGCTTTTAGCAAGTATTATTATTTTTTTGTGAAATAGATGGGACACACATTCTAAAATATCATTACTCTTTTTATGTAATGCTTCTTAAGTCTTATGCTAACTATTCAGTATGTTTGTGGTATAGGGTATGAATTGTGTCTCTGTGACCTAAGCAGGATATCTGTGTTTAAACTTGTTATCTGATTGTTTTGGATAAATGTTTTATCCATATGCACATTAATTCAAGGCTGTGGTTGGAATAATTCAACTAGGAAATAATTACTTTTGAATGTTTACCTGTCTGTACTTTCTCAAACTCAGAAATTTTTTTTTAATTTTATTTTATTTTATTTGTGAACATACTGTACAGAGGGGTTACAATTGCATGGGCAGGATAATGCGTACATTTCTTACCAAGCATTGCAGCCTCCTCCTTTGTTTACCCTTCCCATCCCTTCCCAGCCTCCCCCCTCCCCCCCATCCCAATCCTTCTCCTTCCCCCCTCCCCCCCACCCCCTTCTCCCCCCTCCCCCCGCACCAACGTTGTAAAGCTCGTCAAACTCAGAAATTTAAAAAAATGTTTTTGTCCACTCTCATCCATCTTTGTGTGTATATCTAGTTATGTGTGACTCTTTTTTGTGCACGTGTGTGTGTGTGTGTGTGTGTGTGAGTGAGTGACTGTTTCAGAATGAAACATTTAATTTAAACAAGGAAGGCAATCAGTGTTAACAGTAGAGCAGAAAGTTAGCACTTAGGGGGAAAAAAACCTAGCTACAACACAGGATACCTTCCTTCTATCTGCCCCTGCCCCTTCCTCACCGCCCCCCCTGCCCCAATCTAATGGTGATATTTATTATTTTGATACATTTACTGTGTGGGGGAACTAGGGCCTTGCTTTCAGGTATAATAGACTCAGAAATATGGCACGTTCATCACATAAAGAAAGTCTATCTATCTCAGAAGGATGATTTCACATTATTCCAACTTATGAGATGGTTATATAATAGGACAGTGGCACTTTGGTCATTGGAAAGGGAAATCCAACTTTAGTTCACTTGGACAGGACAGGTTGACTTAAGCTATGCGTTCCCTCCCATGATGCCAGTCAGCATGGGCTGACAAATACAACCTTAAAATTGCCAATGATTTAGGTATCTGAATACTTATAAGGTTTGTTCCAGCTAGGAGAGCTTGCTGTGACCAGGCCCCTAAAAGGGATGACAGAGATAATGTCACTAACATAACTTTAACCCCAAAGGGATCCTTCACTCCACGCCTTCCTGAGAGAAGAGTCTCAAGGACTTTCCTGCTCTATCTGGGTTTGAACTGCAATCTGTACATCTCAACTTCTGATTAGTTAGGATTATAGCCATGAGCCACCAGTCTGCTTTTTGAAAGTTTTTTTTCCCTCCAAGTGCTGGGTAGCACCTCACTCTGGGTTTTGTACTTACAGTCACACAACTTTCATAGGAATGATGATAATACTGATTACTTTTCAAGTTCCATTGCTGAGAGTTACAGCCATAGGGTCATTCATGTTCGGAAATTTGTTCACTGCTATGGATTAACCACAGCTTAATCTGTTCTCCTAACTTCCTTCCCCCAATTCTTGATTGAATTTTTTTCCTTTTCCTTTTATTCTAAGGCCCTGTAGTCTACTGAAGCTAGTTGTTCAAATTACGTTCTTTTTTTTTTTCTCCTCCCAGTGGGATAACCTCATTTTCGGATGGTTGTTAATGCTTAGTTCCTGTTTTACACAGCATATTACATTTAACACACTCCCAGATTATTCATGTGCTGTTGGGCTCATTTGCCTTATCTTTAGTTCCTTCTGCCAGATAGATTGTTGGTGTCACTTTCATGGCATTTTTCCACTTTTGATATTAATTTATGCTTGGCTTTTTTGGTCAGTGCAGTCCACTTATTTTCACAGTCTGTTTAGTAAGAATGTTCTTAGGCCTTGCAAGGACTTTGTAGTTTTCAGATTGAGATTCAGTTAAAGCTTTGGATATTTTCTTTTATTACATACATTTTTATTGTTATTATTTTTATTGTGATGTACAGAGGGGTTACAGTTACATAATCGGGCAAAGAGTACATTTCTTTTCTTTTTTTTGGGGGGGGTCCAGTCCTGGGCCTGAACTCTGGGCCTGGGCGCTGTTCCTCAGCTCTTCAGCTCAAGGCTAGCGCTCTACCACTTGAGCCACAGCGCCACTTCCAGCTTTTTTTTTCTTTTTGCTTATGTGGTGCTGAGGAATCGAACCCAGGGCCTCAGGCATGCAAGGCAAGTGCTCTACCACTGAGCCACCTCCCCAGCCCCCTAAGAGTACATTTCTTTTTGGACAGTGTTACCTCTTGCCTAACTCTTTCCCAGTTTTTCCCTCCCATCCCTACGGACAAGTTGTATAGTTCATTTTCCACAGTGTCCAGTGGGTACCATTGCTGCATTTGTTTACCCTTTGGTCCCTTTATTTCTGTGCCTCCCCTTACATTCCTAAAGGCACATGAAGGAACAAACAGAATAGAAAGAAGAGAAAACAAAACAGCAAAAAAGAAAAAAAAACCTTGTTTCCATTTGCTAACGTTCATTTCAGTAAACATTATTTTATATGATCAGATGCACAGAGGCATAGTGCCTTTCTGCTCCCTTTCTAAGAGTATTCTCTTTTGGTCTCACCATGTGTAAATGCCTGGAGACACTTGTATAATTATCATGTCCCAGTGTATTTTAGATCTAGCTTCCACATATTAGAGAAAACATATGCTATTTGTCTCTCTGAATTTGGCTTACCTCACTTAACATGATTTATTCTAGGTTTGGACATTTTCTAGAGATTATAAAATGTCATGAAAATAAAATGTGTACTTTTTAGAGAGACATCTTAACCCTCAC